CTTCCAGAATTCCCCAGCCAGCCATGCTGGCTGGGGAATTCTGAGAGTTGAAGTCCACCCAACTTAAAGTGGCTGAGGCTGAGGAACCCTGCCCTATAGGAACCAGTGTGGTGGACTGAACAGACCTTTTGTCTGATCCAGCAAAGAGCTTTAAGAGCCATAACCAGGTTTTCTTTACTTTGAGGCAACTTACCGGCAGAAATCCATTTCAAAGGGATCAATAATGGACAGCAGTAACAAATAATCAGCTGACAGGACAAATCCCTGATTCCCCTTCTTCTCCAATGCATAATTAACAGCCCAAAGTTTCAGCAAGGTAACCAAGCATCTGATACGTTCGCTAGCCAAATGCATAGGAAAATGTGCCTGAATGGTGACAGTTATCGTTAATAAATAACATAAAATAAATAAAATAAAACTGTGCCCTATAGTGTAACAGTCAGCCACTCACAACTCCCAACTTCAGTAACTCTCCTTGCAACCAGTAATGCTTCAAAAGAAAGTTCATTTATTGAGAACAAGTGTACAGTTCCAAAGCATTGCTAAGACTGAGCCCACATGTGCCAAAAGAGAAAGTTCATTTATTGAGAACAAGTGTACAGTTCCAAAGCATTGCTAAGACTGAGCCCACATGTGCCAAAAGAGAAAGTTCATTTATTGAGAACAAGTGTACAGTTCCAAAGCATTGCTAAGACTGAGCCCACATGTGCCAAAAGTTACTTTTACCTTTTTTTCTTCCCCCATGCACCCCCCTAACCTTCCAACTTCTCACATTCACTCGTTGGTACGACCTTGAGCATTCCTCAGTCTCTGATAACAGCCCATCTGCCTCTCAGAGTCATTTGGTCTAACCATCCTTCCAGATCCTTCCAGCACCCCCCACCCCATGTCTTCCATTGGCAGAACTGAAGCAAGCAAGCAGGTTAACTGATTAATTGATTGCAAGGATTCTGACATATAAATACATTGAATTCAAAGAAAGAAAAGAAAGGCACGCGTGACAAACTCCAACTTTTTTTCCTTATGATTAAAATATTTATAGGCTGCTTTTCCACAAGCTCAAAGCAATGGAGTACAGTACACCTCACAAATAAAATATTTTTTAAAAAATTCTAATGATGTAAGAATTGACTCTTCCCTTTCTTCTTTCAGCATCCCTGCAAGGAAGGAACGAGCTTGTATGCCCTCTGGGCTCTGGAAATGATGTGTTTGTCAAAGGAGAGCTACATACCCATCTGGAAAACTTGACAAAATCTTATTGAGAGGGTAATTCGTTCTAAATAGTAGTCTGACACTCTGTTAAATAATAAGAACAATAATAAACCTGACTGCTACCCGAGAAGACACTTTGCCAGTGCCCAGAGATACTTTTCTTTATTTCATAAGCACCTGGATTGAGCCCTGCTATTTAAAATTAGTTGAGCTTAATCTTCCAAAAAGCCTGCTTCAAATCCAGCCCTGAATGGAAGAAAGGTGGAAATATATCATTTTTAATATACTTGATCCTATTTAACACCAGCCCATCATTACCAAATTACCCAATTGGAAATGGGGACACTCCGTGCTCTCTCAATAGTGTTTGGACAGTACTTTATACATGAACAGATATATCATCTTGGTAGCCAACCTCAAAATGTTTTTCAATTATTCCTCCCTCAGACTATACTCAGAACTGCATTCAAGCATTCAAAACTGGTTTGAGGGCTTACTCTGGTTTAAATTAAATTGTGCAAGAGATAAAAAGGTGTATTGTTGTTATTCAATCTCTTCCCTGTATTGCAGAACTTAAATTCCCTATCATGTCTCTGAAGACCCTAAACAAACCTGGACTACTCATCCTTTCTCCACTCATTGTCTGACAATCCAGAAACTAATTACCTCTCAGTCTGAGTTGCCTCTTCCTAGACCTCCACAGCTAACCATCTAGATGTATTTCTGCTTTATCGTTACATTCTTCTTTGGCCCTAGGTCTTTACCAGTAGCAATGCTCGGCTAAGAGGATAAGTGAATGGGGGTCTTCACCGAGAGCTTCCTATTTTACATAGGCATCAAAACACCCACAAGAGAGATTGCAAATAATGGAACACTCAGTCATGGAAAGACAGCCAGAAACCAAATCTGAAAGACATTAAGAGTCTCTGCCACCCAGATTTCCAAACACCAAGAGAGAGAGAGCATTTAGAGGGGGCTTACACCCATGCTCCCCACCTCCACCACGACCTTTCTTGTCACTATTACACACCAGGTCTACATCCACCATCAAATTCTTCTAGCCAAATCGCAAAGGTGCCAGCACCCACCCCACTCCAAGCTCCCCTGTTGCTGCTGCACTCCATATAGGCCTCCATTTCAGCAATCTTTCTCCAACTCTTCAGTCAAGCTGAGCAGGCTAAGATCCTGTGACGTTCCATCAATGTCACAGAAACCAGTTTTCAGTACAATTTGGGAGCAGTTGTCAGGCGCTGGTTCTTGAGAGATGTTTGTTCAAACAGGTGAATTCAGGAAATTAATCCCTGCTTTCCAAATCCAGATGAAATATGCCAGGGCTCCTGCCGCTACGCCGAGTCCACAGGATGGAAAAGGAGGGTCCCTCCTCACATTCAAGTCTATTTAGTCCCTAACAGCCTCCTCCATGGTGCAAAGTCCCCAGGTGAAATGGGGGAGGAAGAATGGCTTAGACATAGTTGCTGGCCGGCCTCGATTGAACTGCTGTGTACTTTGATGAATAGGGTTTCTCGGGTTTGGGGGGGCAGTTGCAGCACAGTAGCCCTCCTCCAAAGAGCAGCAGGCTGCAGGAGGCCCAACCAATGTAGAGAGAAGCACCCAGGTCCCGCTTTTGGCTCTCTGGAGTCAGGGGGTTGTAGAAGTCTCGTATGATGTTATTTGCCGTCCAGCAGAGCGGAATGAGAAGCGTGATGCTGGAGAGGAGGAAAATAATTCCAGCGACGATCATCACCTTGGCTTTGGTAGCTCCATCTTCCACACAGTTGGTGCACTTTCCTCCAACGATGGAGAAGAAGATGCCAATGATGGCCAGCACGATGGCAATGACCACCAGAGCCCGAGCAGCCTGCATGTCCTGCGCCAGTGCCAACATAGAATCGTAGACCTTGCATTGCATCTGTCCCGTGCTCTGGACCACACAGTCCATCCATAGGCCCTCCCAAATAATTTGGGCCACCACAATGTTGTTGCCTATAAAGGCTGTCACCCTCCACATGGGCAACCCACAACAGAGGATGGCACCCAGCCAGCCGATCACGGACAAGGCAATGCCCATGACTTGCATCCCCATGGAGGTCATGATGCTCTCCTCTTGCTTCTTGGTGCAACTGCAGCTGAGGAGGCAAAGTAAAAAAAACCAAAAAAAAAAAAACCCTGGAAGACTGCAACAGGAGACGGTGAGATGCTAGTGAGGTGCCGGTGGCAAATATGGGGAAATTATAGGCTGCGCTGATGGGCGGAGCTTTACAGAGGCCATCCAGTCTGAACAGACAGGGAAGCTCAAACCTGTTCCCCAGGATTCCTTCTCCTCCTCCTCCTCAAAGAGGGATTGTCATCCTTGCAGAAGTGAGTTTCTCCAATCCCATCTCACCAATAAATCCCAGCCAAGAAAGGAAGTGACAGCCTGGGATGAAAAGCGAAGAGTCAGAACGGAAGGTTTCCTCATCTGGTTCTTTGCTGAAACCTTTCTAGGCTGATTCAGGTGTCTCATCCTTACTAAGACCATAGGAATTGCTCTGCAAATCTAAACTAAGGCTCCTTCTGGCTCAACATCCTGTTTCCAACTGCGATTGGCCAGATGCTCCAGGGCAGTGCAGAAGGAAGTCTTGCACTGGTGAAATTAAAGAGTCCACTACTTCTGGACAAAGAGACTCCAGTCAATTATCCTAACCTGGTGGCCATCAATAGCAGCCTTTGCAAATATTCTTTCTGCTACAGGTCACAGTATCACAAACTGTAGCAAGGAGGAGGAGGATTTTCTCACCTTTCTCTGAGAACACAAGGCTATTCACATAGAAATCCCTAACATTTTCCCCACAACAACGTTTTGAGGTAGGTTAGAATGGGAGGAACTGACCCAGTGTCACTTAGTGATCTCCATGGCAAGAGGAGACTCCATCTTGCTTGCCTTAAGAACCCTTGAAGTGAAGAATTGCTCCCTAGTCTGCACCCAGTGCAATCCTGTTCTGCATGGAAACTTTCTTGCCTTCCCAGACCCTCCTTTGCAATTCAGAAAGGACTATCCTGCTTCAGGCCCTGCCTCCAGTCAGACTGCTGTGAGGGCATCCATAGATTATCACCTCACCCTTTAAGGATGTGGTGACCACAGGTAGCTGGGCTACACCCTGAGAGCACCAAACTGGTTGAGCAGCAAAGGTTGCAACACCACAAGTCTTGTGGAAATAGAGGGGGAGAAACTACAGGTGAGTTTCAGTCCACAACAGCATCTATTCTCTCACAAATGTGTTTAGGGTGACAATCAGAGTCTTCATTAGAATCTTTCGAGGGAATTAACTTCAGCTTTAGTGCAGTGCAAGAGTCACTTTGTTCTTTTCACCCAGATTTCACAAAAGGATTGTGCACATGGTACTGTCACTTGTGAGTAATACAAGCAGGGTGAAGTGAACAGATTTCTCAACAGCTTGCATGGAGAGTTTCAAGCAGGAAACGATCAAGCTAATACAACATTGCTGTTCTTTTTTCAGCATGTTCTTCAGGTGTTTTGCCTTGGAAAAACGTGTGGAGACTAAACTGATGGTTTTCCACAATGCAGCCAACTATAAAGCCCTCTACCTTTTTTACATATGTCATGTATGTGACACACATAAAATTAGTAGGGCTTTGATCACATTGTCATGGCCATCATCTTGACTTTTTTGACTCCCCTCTGCAGACATCTCTGCATTATCCAGATAAGGCCCTTAAAGAGCCCAGTTTGCTTTTACATGATGTGCAAAAAGAACCCCTCCCTTTTGCTGAAAAATCCAGTCATTTTAAAATGGGTAATATTGTTTACATAATTATGGAGCTATGCAAGTATTTTGCCAGGGCCTACCTCTCTTTGGCCGGGAATAATCTTGGGTTAACTCAGAGCCAAACTACATAATTCTGTAGAATTATGGCATACCATGGAAAAACAATAGCTTAGGAATCAAATTAGTTAAGGCAGATAAGTGACATGGGGCCGGTGGGTGCTGGGGAACAGAAGTTGGCTATCCCATCCAGCAAGGTTGCTGGGTTCCCAGTCAGATCTTGAGGCATGTTGTTGATGAGTTGTTCTATCAGGAAATCAGCAAAAGAGTCTTCTCTGACATAATTTGTATTTTGATCCTCAGCTTCCATTCTTCTCCTGCAATCAGGGATGATCTTCATGGTCGTTTCCAATCTTTCTATGATTCTTTGATCTTAGCCAAAAGATCAAGAAGTGATATCCCAACATCTTCCATTTTATCAAACTAATGGGGAGAAAGTAACTTTAAACCAACAGTACCTGACAGGTGCCCATGAACATAATCTACTGCCAGACTTGCTGCTAGACTACTATTACTACTACTACTACTACTACTTCTTCTTCTTCTTCTTCTTCTTCTTCTTCTTCTTATTATTATTATTATTATTTAATTAACATTAAATGGGACATCAGTATTTAGGAAAATGTGCTAGTGTCTAATAACGTGTTTATTTCTATGAATACCTCTAGGCCTCATATAGCTCACTTGGCATTCTAGGAAAATAAAAATGGATGGGAGGTGGCTGTAAGCCAGAGCTTTGCTGGAAAGTATGCCCACCAATACAGGAAAAAGTCAGACTGTATTCACACAACATATTTAATCAGGATAGTTAAAGGCTAGAGACTGAATTCCTGCAACATGCAAAACTTGGTTGGCATTAACTTTTTCTGTGGCTTAGCATGTTTTGTAAACTCAGCCCATTTGGTAAGTTGAGAATTCAGTACCTAAACCCACCCTCATGGGTTATGCCATAACTAAGCTAAGCATTTCGCAGACTGTAACTTCCCTAGGTGACCATTTTTCCCTTTATGGATGCCATTCTTGTATACACGCAAGCCGCCCTGTCACCTTCATGGCTTTTAACAGCTGTTTTACAAGGCAGCAGCCAACATGCTGTCAAAATCCCAGGTGTGTCTTCCTATTCAAGAAAATTCCCTATTCAAGCTTAAAACCTTTCTTCATATCATAGCCTGGAGTCCCAAATGAACATGGCCATTTGGAGGTAAGGATGAGCAGAGGATGACTAATGTCACACACATCTTGACATCATTTATGTGATGAGCTTATGACTTTTTTTACATCATCATGGCTTCTATCAAACATCTAGAACAGTGTTTCTCAACCTCAGCAACTTTAAGCTGTGTGGATTTCAACTCTCAGAATTCCCCAGCCAGCATGGGGAAATCCACACAGCAGAAGCAGAGGAGGGCTTGAAATCCACACAGCTTAAAGTTGCTGAGGTTGAGAAACACTGATCTAGGCAATGGAGCCTCCTTATCCACAGTGAGAAGAGTTTGACTCTTGGACCATCCTGTTGTTTGCAGAAGTAGCAGAGAGAAAATTGTTACTGTAGACCAAGGAAACACTGCACTTAGAAAACTAGCTATCAGGAAGAACGGATGTACTTTAGATTTCTATCAATGTATCTCAGCCTTGTGCAACCAGATACATGCGGAGATGCTGGACTTCAGTTAAAGAATCCCAAACCCCCAGAGTACAGCCAGTGGGCTAGGCTGATTTATTTGAGTCAAATATCCTCACCCTTTGAGGATGAGAGTTGAAGCTACAAAATAAACCAGAGGCTCCATTTCTCCTGGCAAGGAGTGCATGAATATTCTCTCTTCTGTGAGGCTTTACGTTCAGCCTGAAATGGTCAAGTTGCTATAAAAATATCAGAATGAAACTTGCTCTGGATATCTTTCTCTGCAGGGGCATCCAGGGGGCTGGGTCAAAAGTCAAGAAGGCAGCCACAATTATGTGATCCAAACCTTGCCTCTTTTTTTTTTTTTTTTTTTTTTTACAGTGGTTTGATTTCACAGTTGTGGCCATCTTGTAATGGTATGTGAGAATGACCTTAGGGGACAGGAGGAAGAGCCACAGACTAGGTAACAGTCAGATAAGAGGGAACTGAGACTGTAGAAGGAACGGGGGCTTGGCAGACATCTCAGAAGGGACCTTCCCTAGTTTCTTGGGCTGTAAAGGCGAGGGGGGAGAGATGTACTTTCCGACTTGCAAGATTGATGTCAGCCTTGTGAGGTAGTCCAAACAAGACGCACACCCAGGAGTACTAGCTCTAACTTTATTGTAAGGTTACATTAACGGAATCTTGCATGTATAAATAAAAATAAATAAAATTGCATCTCAGCGCCATATGTGACTTTAATTTAGCCCACTGCCAAGATGTGCCCACCCCCATCCAGCTGCTCTCTTTCAAAGAAAAGTCTTTTTCCCCTCTTCCTGTTCTCAGACCTCAGTGATACAGAGGATCATCATAGTGTGAGTCCTCTTCATTCCTCTTTGCCAAATGCAGCCATTCAGAACAGCCCAAGAGTTTGGGGGCAGCTAGGTGGAAAATCCAGCTCCTCATGCCAGTGTTTCTCGATCTTGGCAACTTTAAGATGTGTGGACTTCAACTCCCAGAATTCCCCAGCCAGCTTTGGTATTGTATTGTATATGTGTGGACTTCAACTCCCAGTATTCTGGGAGTTGAAGTCCACACATCTTAAAGTTATCAAGGTTGAGAAATACTGCCTTATGCCGTAAGTGTGGTATGAAGTAGCAGTTAATAGCTCAGACTAGGGATTTGGGGAGATGTGGGTTTAAGCTCAGCTCAGGGGTTTGCAGGGGTGCTGTGAGTGAATTCATGATGTCTGGGGAATTCTGGGAGTTGAAGTCCACCCATCTTAAAGTTGCCAATTTTGAAAAACAGTGTCCTATGTCAATGCAATATTTACTGTAAATATGAGAAGTCTGTCCTTTCCTGTGCTAGGAAAAGGCTGTTCCTCCAGCTCCTTTATTTTCCAAACAAAACTCCATCTGCACATCTGGTGCAGGGGCAGCAGGGAGAGGAATAAAGCATAAGCTTCACCAGAGTTGCTGCAGGGGTAGCTCTGCTTAGCAACCAATCCGGAAGCCCAGCTTGATTTCCAGGAGGATTTATGGCTGAGCCATTCCAGTTCTGCAAAACTGATAAGCTGTGTTGTAGCCCTTCAGATGTTTCTCTCCACCCAGCATTCCTTACTCCAAGCCACGTTGCCTGGGGCTGTAATTCAGCAACCTCTAGAACAGT